AAAAATAAAAATAAAAATAAAAATAAATAAACAAAACAAAACAAAACAAACAAAAAAAAAGAAGTATGCTTAACATTCTGGGAGGTCAAGGCAGTGGATTGCTTGAGCTCAGGAGTTAGAGATCAGCCTGAGCAAGAATGAGATTGTCTCTACTAAAAATAGAAAAACAAACCTAGCTGGGCATAGTGCTAGGTGCCTATAGTCCCAGCTATGGGAAAGCTGAGACATGACATTGCCCAAGAGTTTGAGGTTGCTGAGAGCTATGACACTACGCATTCTACTAAAGGCAGCAGACTGAGACTCTGTCTCCAGAAAAAAAGGAAATATGCTTAAAATAAATTTCATTGAAATATATATTTATGTATCCTATTTAAAATATGTTCTATGGAATCTTACAGAATTTACAAGATTCTATAGCATGACTCACCAAAAGCTGTTCCACCAGCTTCTTCACATTCTGTCCCATTTCTGGGGACTGTGATCCGCTACATGCTAGTTTTATTAACATTGCGAGGAAGTTCTTACATTTCTTCACATTTTCTAGCATTGTCTACATAAGGATATATAAATGGAAACAAATACTCAAAATTTCCGTAAGCAAATAGTATTCAAGATTTGTAAGGAAATACATTTACATAAGGTACAAGTGAGAGCTTACCGGAGAAAGATCAGTCTGAGCAGCTGCTGAGTTCTCTGCTTTGAGATTGGGCTCATTTGAAGGGGTGGATGATGCTCCCAAACTTGAAGCCTTCAAGGTAGTTACAGTATTCAAAGATTTTACAGGAGTAACTGTAACAACATTGGTTGCCACAGCCACAGACTGAAATTAAAGGTAATATATATTTAGATATGTATTCCTATGACACATTAGAGGGTGCTTCATTTCACACTTAAAAGACTACAGATTGGGCGGTGCCTGTGGCTCAGTGGGTATGGTGCTGGCCCCATATACTGAAGTGGGGTGGGTTCAAACCCAGCCCTGGCCAAACCGCAACAAAAAAATAGCCGGGCATTGTGGCAGGCACCTTTAGTCCCAGCTACTCAGGAGTCTGATGCAAGAGAATCACCTAAGCCCAGGAGTTGGAGGTTGCTGTGAGCTGTGTGATGCCACAGCACTCTACAGAGGGTGATAAAGTGAGACTCTATCTCTACAAAAAAAAAAAAAAAAAAAAAAAGACTACAGATTAATTTTGGCAACTTTGTTTTCATGTTATACCCTACTAGTCTAAGGCAATGTAACACAGTTATAGGAACTGTTGGCACTAGAAGATTTGAGTTTAATTTTTACCTATCTAATATTTTATTGCCACCTACAAAGTGTTGATTATAGGCAAATTACTTAATCCTACTAACCCTCTGATTCCTGTCTATAAAACACGAGGATAGTAATGTTACCTACTGTCCTAGCGGTGTTTGCGAATCAATGGCAAACATATACATCCTCAAAAAAATATAAATACGAAACAGCAAATCTTTTTTTTTTTTTTTTTGGAGAAAGAGCCTCAAGCTATTGCCCTGGGTAGAGTGCTGTGACATTACAGCTCACAGCAACCTCCAACTCCTGGGTTCAAGTGATTCTCCTGCCTCCACCTCCCAACTAGTTGGGACTACAGGCGCCTGCTACAATGCCCAGCTATTTTTTTTTGGTTGCAGCAGTCAATTGTTTTTTGGTGGACCCAGGCTGGATTCCAACCTGCCAGCTTAGGTGTATGTGGCTGGTGCCTTAGCCACTTGAGCCACAGGCGCCGAGCAAATCTTTATACAAAAACATAGAATATTCTTTTTCTTAAGTATAAAGTAAAACAATATACTGATTATCTTACACTGAAGTAACCATTTTTATGCAGATCATTTCAGTAAGCATAAGGAATATTACAAAATGTGATATCTTATTTTCAAGTTGAAAAAATTTCAGTCTTTTCTTCCACCCTCTATCAAAATAAAGTGTGACTCTAGCACCATCTGCAGGAGATAAAGCTTGATACAAGAAATCACAAGTCAGGTAGTAATTTAGAAAACCACACTGAGATAAAGCAATCTTATTGCTTTTTAAAGGCAAACATTAAAAGTTATAGGACAGGGCAGTGCCTGTGGCTCAAAGGAGTAGGGTGCTGGCCCCATATGTCGGAGGTGGTGGCATCCAACCCAGCCCTGGCCCAAAATCGCAAAAAAAAAGAAAAAGTTATAGGACGTAAGAAAAGTTTGGGGAGATAGGGGTAAGACAGTATTTACAATTCATACAGAAATTGAACATCACATCATCACTTTCATTGAAATGCTTTGTGTTCTATAGGCATAAAGGTCAAGTTGCTATCACCTTGACCTATATCAAGATAGTTGAGTTTAAAAATGCACCAAAATGTCCCACTTTAAAAATGTTACAGCATATAATGTACAAGAATGTTTTGAGGGTGAAAATAGGAAGAATAATAAAAATACTGGAAACGAACCGGAGAGGAGAACACATGCTGGCCCTCTGGCGGGTTTGGAATATATGGGCCTTCACTTTACTATTATTTTTTTCAACTATATAAATATTATATTTATATAGTCTTGTCTATATGTTTCATAATAAAAATGTATAATAAAAATATTAACTACCATAAGCTAACAAATTTCAAACAATGATCAGAATGATACATTTTTGGAAAAATACAAAATGACAAAATTGGCACAAGATAGAAACTGGAATAGACAAATTTAAAATGTGAAACAGTAATCAAAGAGAGCTCCCTTCCACAAATCTCCAGGCTCAGATACTTTCCATGTGATTTTTCTCAAAATTAGAAGCTGTCTAATTCATTTTGAGACATTCTGTAATGTATTTCAAAACTGAATATTAGAAGCCAAATCAAAGGCTCATTTGGCAAAAATTTTGATAAAATGTAAAATATACTGATTAATGGTGAAGGCTAAAACTAATGATGAAATGTTGAGCAAAAGAGGTACAATTAAAAATTACATCTAAATTAGTAAGATTTTATTAATTACAGAGAGAGCCTCAAAGGCAACAATGAAAATGAAGTCTCCCTTCTTTTCATAGCTTTAGTTGTACTCTCCAGAGACCACCACCACACAGTTTCTTCTGAATCTTTCTGGAGGATTTTTTAATATTTGAGTAAATATGACCTTTTCTTCAGTGAGTCTATCTTATAACCAGTCATTATCTCTCTGGAATTTTAGGTGGTGATTATAATTTCCTTTGAGGACTGATGGGGCAGATTCCTTAAGGGGGTACTGTTCTCCTCCCTTATGAAGCAAAATAAGATCCAATCAAATGGTGAGTTTAGTAAAAGTATCCTACTCTTTGTGAGTAGAGGGAGTACTTGTGGCATTCTACTTTCTCTACCAATATTTTGTCCTGTCTCCAATACAAGAATCTGTCCTTCATAATGTTTTCTAACACAGCTTCTAACTGTATCTCACCAGATACATACATCTTCCATGCCAATCCCACCTCTCTAGAGGCACAGAGAGATACATAATCCCAGTCTTACTCTATCTCCCTAATCGTGTTTCAGTGTTGGATGGATCCTCTTAAAGTCAATTATAACAGACTTTAACTATGTTTCTAGACAAGACAATGGTACCTCCATGCTTTACAAGACAGCACTGGCACTGACTAGACATATCTTAGGGACAGAAGATTAACAGGGTGGGTTAAATGTGAAATAAATGGATTAAAATCATACAAAGAGCCATTAAAATGAATTGTATGCAAATTTAGCAGACAAAACTGCATTTCAAGGAGGGCCATTTTCCATACCTGTCTAAACAAGCACTTAGTTAGGTCTATTTGTATTTAATTAGAAGTAGGAATTCTAAATCAAATCATTTGCACATTAGATTCTAACATAATAAGCTAAATTCTACCTTCATGTTCAAATACAACATAAAAGCAAACACAAAGATTTCAAACAAAGTTCTTGTGTTATATTTACCAGATTTAGTCATGTTTCAAGTCATTTTAAACAATTACCAATATCTGTTAATAGAAAATAATTTCAAAATTTCTTAATACACACATTGCCTTTACAGTCAAACAATTAAGTACAAGGTGTTTTATCTTCTTTCATTTCCAAGTTCTAGCTTCTTAGTTACAAAAAGGGCCTAAACTGAGATGCTTTACCATTCAAAGTGGACAGATATTAACTTCATTCTTTGATAATTTTTACTGCTCTAGACTATTGCTAAGGAACATCCCAGTTTAAAACAAGTTATCTGGGCGGCGCCTGTGGCTCAAAAGGATAGGGTGCTGTTCCCATGTGCCAGAGGTGGCGGGTTCAAACCCAGCCCTAGACAAAAAAAAAAATGAAAATAAATAAATAAATAAATAAAACATGTATCAATCGGTGGGTATAGTAGTGCACACCTCTAGGCTCAGCTACTGGGAAAGTTGATGTGGGAGGTTCACTCAAGCCAAGGCTACAGTGAGCTATGTCATGCCACTGCCCTGCTGCCGAGGCAACAGAGACTCTCATCTTAAAAGAAAACAAAATGCATCTATCTAAATACAAAAATAAACAGTCCAAATGGAAATATTAATGATAGATATATTTATGGAAAAATAATTCAAGGAAGAAGCTAAGCAACCCAGATATAGCATTTCAAATAATTTTATGTACTACATATTTTTAACATAGTAATATGCAACTTCTTTATAACATACTAAATAACAAGACTGATACTGAAGCTAATAACCACTATAATTACAATATGGCAATTAGCATAAACAAGATTTCAAGGTAACTATACCATGAGGAAATATAAAAATATGAATGATTTCTCTTGTGACAGAGTCACATATACCTTTATATGCTAAAAAATATGGCTCCATGGTTTGGAACCTCATAGTGGAAAGAAACTCCAAGTTTCAGTCTGTGCTTAGTGTAAGATTTCTTATCTGAATTCACAGACTCCAGGTTTAGAATTCCCAATCCCTTTTATAAAAACGATAAATATAATTAGTGTTCACCAACTGTGATTACTAACTAAATGAACACAAGCTTTCACTTTCTAAACTATTAAGACTTCTGTGATATTCAGAGAGTACAGAAATAGAATGGTGGTTGCAGCTGGCAGGGAAAGATTAAAGTCCATAGATATGAAGAAATACTTTGAGAAGTAATGTCCAAAAAATTCACTTTACCACTAACCTGGCTCCCAGAAGGCCCCTAAAGAAGGATGAGTATAGTGGAGTTCCTTCCATTATCTCAACACAACATAAATTTCTCTCTGCATCCTGAAAACCCATAATGTACAAATGGGTACATCTTAAGTATATATGATTACATTGCTAAGTATATTCTCTCTGCAGTATTTTTTTAACCATGGCATTGTATGTACTACATCTTTAAGAAATACAATGAAAAAACTTATATACTCAAAACTAGCTATTTTCTATTCTAAATTGGTTGAACCCCTTCATAAAACAATATGATGGAAGCTATCAATAGGCCTAAATTCATACTCTTTAGCCTAATAATCTACTTAGAATAATTCTAAGGGAAAAAAAGTTTGAGATAATTAATACAGAAGTTATTAAGAACATAGTTCTCTCAGGTGCTGGCTACGGCTCAGTGGGTAGTGCGCCAGCCTCACATACAGAGGGTGGCGGGTTTGAACCTGGCCCCAGCCAAACTGCAACAAAAAATAGCTGGGCACTGTGGCAGACACCTGTAGTCCCAGCTACTCAGGAGGCTGAGGCAAGAGAACTGCCTAAGCCCAGGAGCTGGAGGTTGCTGTGAGCTGTGACACTACAGCATCTACTAAGGGTGATAAAGTAATCTGTCTCAAAAAAAAAAAAAAAAAAAAAGAACATAGTTCTCAAGTTAAAGAAATCTAAGTTCAAATACCCTTTTCGCCACTTATTAGAAAGTTTCTCAACCTCTCCAAACCTATTTTTACATGTAAAATGGAGATAATACTTCCTTACAGAGTAATTGTGAGGATGGAATGGGATGATGAACATAAAGAACATAAAGAAGTGCCAAGCACATTAAGCGCTCGATAAGTGGTAGACATTAGAAAACATTATGTTTAAAATCATATTCACTGCTCAGCTGTGAACTAACTTTATCTGTTAGAGGAAAAGAATATGAGCAGTATGGTTAAATAAATTTTGGAATACCAAATTGGTGGGACCACACCTACGCTGCATCTTACAAGGGTACATGTGAAATTTACTAGGTGTAGAATACAAATGTCTTAACACAATAACTAAGAAGATGCCATGAAGGCTATGTTAACCAGTTTGATGAAAAT